TGGGGGACAATTGGTTGCCCTTTGGGGGACACTTTGGGTGCCTTTTTGGGGGACACCTGGGTCCTTTTTGGGGACAATATGGGGGATTTTGGTTGACATCTGGATGTGTTTAGGGGTCACCCTTTGGATACCTTTTTGGGTGACACCTGGGTCCTTTTTGGGGGACAATTTGGGGGATTTTGGTTGACATCTGGACGCGTTTGGGGGTCACCCTTTAGATACCTTTTTTGCGTGACACCTGGCTCCTTTTGGGGGCCAATTTTTGGGGTTCCCTTTGGGTGCCTATTTGTGGGAGAACTTCAGCGCCTTTCCAGGACCCTTTGCCTGCATTTTTGGGCTCAATTTGGGGGTTTTTGGCTCATTCCCCCCACTCTTTCCCTCAGCCATGGAAGGTTTGGGTTTCCTCGACGCCCTCAACTCCGCTCCCATCCCCGGCATCAAGATCAAGAAGAAGAAGAAGGTTCTTTCCCCCACGGCTGCCAAGGTGAGGAGGTGGCTACCCACATCCCCTCCCTGGCTACCAGGGACCCCTCTTTTCCTCGAGAACTCCCCAAAAAACCTCTCTTTTTCCCCCTCTCACAGCCCAGTCCTTTTGAGGGAAAACCAGCTCCTGAAACCAGTTCTGTGAAACCGTCCTCCCCGGAGCCCAGCGCCGCCTCCGAGCCCATGGAGACCGATCGACCCGGGACCCCCGTCCCCGCCGTGGAGGTGCCTGAACCCATGGACACATGTAAGTTGGGGTTCATGGGGAATAAAAAAATAGAGGTTTTGGTGGGGGGGGGGTTAAACGGGTGCTGAGCCCCCCCTGATTCCTCCCCCAGGTTCGTCGGAGGTGAGCGGTGACTCTAAAAGCGGCGAAAACGGGTCAGAAAGCGGCCAACTGACTAAAAAAGGGCGAAAGAAGAAAACGGTGAGTTGGCCTGAAGAAAACAAACTTCGTGAATATTTTTACTTCGAACTGGACGAGACAGAGAGAGGTGAGTCCTGTGTGTCCCCCCCCCCTCCCCCCGGGTGTCCCCAAGCTTTTAGGGGGTGACACTGATGTTCCTGTCCCTTCTTTTCTTGCAGTTAATGTCAATAAGATCAAGGATTTTGAGGAAGCGGCCAAGAGGGAGATGCTGAAGGATCGACACGCTTTCGAGACGGCCCGACGTCTCAGCCACGACTCCATGGAGGAGAAAGTGCCCTGGATTTATCCCAAACTCCTGGATCTTCCTGCTCCCCTGGTGGTGCCGGGAAGCGGCAGCCGGGAACGGTTCACTCAGGCCGAGAGGGAGAAGGGGATCCTGCAGGAGATCTTCCTCTCCAAGGAAAGGTGAGTGGATCCCTTGGGATCTCTTCGTGGAGCCGGTGATTCCCCCTTCTCCGTGCTATGGTGGGGGGATGCCCATTTTTGGGGGTCTTGGACCCACTTTTGGGGGTCTTAGGGTGGCTTTTGGGAGGGCTCAGACCTGCTCTTGGGGTTCTCAGACCCGCTTTTGGAGGTCTCTGACTTGCTTTTGGGAGTCTTGGACTCACTTTTGAGGGGTTTGAGGCTGTTTTGGGGATCTTGGAGCTGCTTTTGAGGGTCTCGGACCTGCTTTTGGGGGGCTCATGGCTATTTTTGGGGCTCACGCCTGCTCTTGGGGGTCTTGGGGCAGCTTTTGGGGGGCTCAGTCCTGCTCTTGGGGTTCTCAGACCCGCTTTTGGAGGTCTCTGACTTGCTTTTTGGGGGTGAGCCCTTGGGACTCACTTTTGAGGGATTTGAGGCTGTTTTGGGGATCTTGGAGCTGCTTTTGGGGGTCTTGGAACAGCTTTTGGGGGGATTCGGGGCTGTTTTGGGGATCTTGGAGCTGCTTTTGAGGGTCTCGGACCTGCTTTTGGGGGGCTCATGGCTATTTTTGGGGCTCACGCCTGCTCTTGGGGGTCTTGGGGCAGCTTTTGGGGGGCTCAGTCCTGCTCTTGGGGTTCTCAGACCCGCTTTTGGAGGTCTCTGACTTGCTTTTTGGGGGTGAGCCCTTGGGACTCACTTTTGAGGGATTTGAGGCTGTTTTGGGGATCTTGGAGCTGCTTTTGGGGGTCTTGGAACAGCTTTTGGGGGGATTCGGGGCTGTTTTGGGGATCTTGGAGCTGCTTTTGAGGGTCTCGGACCTGCTTTTGGGGGGCTCATGGCTATTTTTGGGGCTCACGCCTGCTCTTGGGGGTCTTGGGGCAGCTTTTGGGGGGCTCAGACCTGCTTTTGGGCTCAGAGCTGTTCTTGGGGGTGTCTTGGAGCTGTTTTTTGGGGTCTTAGGGTGGCTTCTGGGGATCTTGGGGGTCTGAGACCCACTTTTGAGGGGCTCAGATCCACTTTGGGGATCTTGGGGGTCTCAGACCTGCTTTTGGGGGTTTTGGCGCAGCTTTTGGGGGGGCTCTGGGGTGTCTTGGGGGTTGTGGGATGTCTCTGACCCACTCTTGGGGGGCTCAGATCCACATTTGGGGGTCTTGGGGCAGCTTTTGGGGGGCTCAGTCCTGCTCTTGGGGTTCTCAGACCCGCTTTTGGAGGTCTCTGACTTGCTTTTTGGGGTGGGTGGCTTTTGGGGGGCTCAGACCTGACCTTGGGGAGCTCAGAGCTGCTTTTGATGGTCTCTTGCCCGCTTTTGGGGGGGCTCAGGGCTGTTTTGGGGTCTTGGAGCTGCTTTTGAGCATTTTGGAGCTGCTTTTGGGGTTCAGGGCTCTTTTGGGGGTTCTCAGCCTTGCTCTTGGGGGGCTCAGGGCTGTTTTGGGGATTTGGGAGCTGCTTTCGAGGCTCTTGGACCCTGCTTTTGAGCATCTTGGAGCTGCTTTTGGGGTTCAGGGCTGGTTTGGGGGTTCTCAGACTTGCTCTTGGGGGGCTCAGGGCTGTTTTGGGGATTTCGGAGCTGCTTTTGAGGCTCTTGGACCCACTTTTGGGGGGGTCAGGGGTGTTTTGGGGATCTCACACCTGCTCTTGGGGGGCTCGGAGCTGCTTTTGAGGGTCTTGGACCATCTTTGGGGGGATCTCGGACCCACTCTTGGGGGGCTCAGGACCGATTTGGGGGATCCTAGACCCATTTTGGGGGGGCTTGGGGCCGCCTGGATCCCCCTCCCCAGGATTAACGGGGTCGATCCTTCCCGGTGTGAGGAGCTGTGTCCTGGGGGGGAGGGGACGATGGTGCTGGGATCCCTCCAGAGCCTGGATCCCTCAGGATCTATTTGGGATTCCCTGGGATCAGGCTCCTGCAGAGGGATCCTTGTGCCCGGGGGCTGCGGGATGTGTCTGGGGTGCAGATCCCAGGGATCCCTCAGGATCCGGAGCCGGGTGGGTCCTGGGATCCCTGGGGATCTGCCCCTGGGATCCCTGGGGATCCAGGTTTGGGGGGGGAACGACACACAGATCCCTTGGGATCCCTAAGGATCTCCAGTGGGAAGGGAGAGGGGTTTTTGGAGCCCAAATCCTTTGGGATCTGTGAGGATCCTGAGCTGGGGGGGGGAGGTTTTTGGGTGCTGGATCCCTGAGGATCCTGAGCTGTGGACTGGATCCCCTGGGATCCCCGAGGATCCCGAGTGGGCAGGGAGGTTTTGGGGTCCCAGCACCCCATGGATCCAATGTCGGGGGGGGAGCAGCCCCCGGGGGCCTGGATCTCCCGGAATCCCTGAGGATCTGGCACCTGGAGGAGCCTTTTGGTGCCCTCAGGATCCCTGAGGATCCCAGGTCTTTGGGG